CCCCCTTTACCCTTTTGTACTCCCCCATCTCCTTTCCCTCTGGTAACCCCCTTCTTCTCAGTCTATGAGTTTCAGTTTTATATTCCACATGGGTAGGGTCCTAGGCCTGGCTGGCAATCAGGGCCAATTGGGGCCTTCCTTACCCCAAATGCCAGCTGCCGGCTGGGGGCCTTCCTTCATTCCGTGCTGTCTCCTGGTGGTCAGCGTACATCATAGTGAGCAATTGAACTCCAGGTCTCCCGGTTGAACTCCTGAGGGAACAATTTGCATATTAGGATTTTATATATATAGATAAGAGTGAAGTCATATGATTCTTAGCTTTTTCTGACTGATTTCAATTAGCATAATATTCTCAAGGTATAATATATACATTTTAAAATAGCATAAGGACTTAGAAACACACACACAAACACACACACACACACACACACACACACACACATATATATATATATATATATATGTCATATGTTATATACACACTAGAGGCGGGGTGCACAAAAATTTGTGCACTCGGGGGGGGGGGTCCCTCAGCCCGGCCTGGGACCCCTCAGGGGATGACCACCTGCTGGCTTAGGCCCGCTCCCCAGGGAATTGGGCCTAAGCTGGCAATCAGACATCCCTCTGGCAGCACGGGAGCCCTTGGGGGATGTCCACTTGCCAGCGGGGAGCAGGCCTAAGCTGCAGTCATACATCCTTAGTGCCGCTGAGGAGGCGGGAGAGGCTCCTACCACCACTGCTGTACTGGCAGCTGTCAGCCTGGCTTGTAGCTGAGCAGAGCTCCCCCTGTGGGAGCACACTGACCACCAGGGGGCAGCTCCTGCATTGAGTGTCTGCCCCCTGGTGGTCAGTGTGTGTCATAGTGACCAGTCATTCCCAGTCACTCTGCTGTTAGGGCAGATTGCATATTACCCTTTTATTATATAGGATAGAGGCCTGGTGCATGGGTGGGGGCCGGCTGGGTTTGCCCTGAAGGGTGTCTCAAATCAGGGGGGGGGGTTCCCGCTGGGGGGCCTGGGCAAGCCTGGATAGGAGGGGCTGATGGGCTGGTTTGGCAGGCTGGGCCACACCCCCCTTTCAGGAAGA